AACACTTCAACAAATTATATATCCTCAATAACAAGCTCAGTATTCAACAATCACAAGTTCCGCAAAAAGGCAATCACCAGATTAGCAAAACACAATATCAAGTTCACTAATGATAAGTATGTGCAATGTAATGGAATGCAATGTCAAGTATAATGATGCATGTCTGACCTAGTGATACACACCCACTGTCTCTTAGTCCGGGACCCATGGGGGACATATCTGCCCATGCATCTGTCGCGGCACATGATAAGACCCTCGATAACAGTAACCATCGCGGCACGCGATACGTCCCTCGAAATATAGTATCCATCGCGGCGCGCGATACGTCCGTCGAAATATAGTATCCATCGCGGCGCGCGATACGTCCCTCGAAATGGTACATCCTCTTTAAGTTATCATTCTTTCTCAATGCACATAACACTTTCACAACCATGTCTCAGAATAATGCAATGACATATTCACACAAATAATGAGGAGATGACCATTTTCATAACATTGCACAGTTCACAACCACACAAACATGAAATCACATCAACAATGATTCAACAAGCCATCAAAATTTTCTCAACACATCACACATAAATAATTAATCACATCGCCTTTTGTTATCCCTTTTATTTCATCATTAGAATTAATCAATGTGGACAAGTCAACCCATCACCAATCCCGTTACTCCCAAACAAATATCACAAGGAAATACACGCATTCCATACACTTAACAAGAGTTTAGAAATCCACTTGCCTCAATTTATTGAAAACTTACTCCATGACTTGTGCCTTTAATTTTCGTTGAACTTCCAACTCAAGCAATCTATTCATACAAATGATCACGATAAGATTTCGAAACTAACAACATTTATATTACTATATGTCTAACTTAGACCCATTAACTTGTTCAAATCCATAAAATACAATTAGTTCTTGATTAAATGACCGTATAGACAACAACATTGATATACTTCTACCTCGTACTCCAAAAATCACTTAAAACCCCTAGAGTCCACATTTATAATCAAGTTCTTACTCTTTATACAAGTGAATATACCAACTTTCAAAATTTCAAAACATCAAGCCTAGGGTTAAGTCTTTATTCCTTCAAATATAAAAGTCAATTGACATTCACGAACCACAATGCACCTACTATTTAATTAGGTATCTTAATATGTCAAACCTTGAATTTTAAGGCGATAACCATATGAAAACTTTTATAATCGAAGATAAAAATATTCCTAGTAATTTAAAATAACATACATACCTAAACCAAATCTACTCCACTTATATAAAATAAAATCTAGCTACCGGACCAATGACAATCTAACTACTGTGAATAGTTAGTTAAGTATGTGAAATACTCCAATAACTAAAAGGGATCTCATTCATCTTCTGACTTTTATAGATAAATTACAATATCACAAAATTCGCTAATTTCTATATATTCCAAATATAAATTAGACCACTACATGCCATTGGAACAGATTGTTCCTTAAAATTCTGGTAAGAGCAAATTGAATAAGACATAAAACTAACACATGGCATATCATCATTGTACATATACATATATCACATGCTCTATATTCCAAAACCCCTATTTCAATTCAATTATAATGTAATACTATTATATACATATATATATGCATCAATTATGATAGAATATGCACTATGAGGAACAATTAATGCATGCCTAAGAGAACATGAAAAAGAATTGTTCTTACGATGATGCAGTTTGTTCTCTTTTCCTTCGTCGTTCTCTGGTCAGGTAAGTTTTCGTCCCTTCTCTTTTCTCTTTTTTTTTCTGATTAAAATAATTATGTATTATATGTGACAAACCCTAGTAACTTATTTTTGATAAATATGGATTAAATATTATAAGGTGTTAAATAAATTATCACTTTAGCCCATTAATTATCAATTAAGTCAATTATCTATA